CCCGCATCCCCCCAAAACCCACCAGCCCCTCAGGACCCCACATCCTCCCGTGACCCCACATTCCCTCAGGACTCCATGTTCCCCCAGGACCTCGCATCCCCCCAAAACCTCACAGCCCCTCAGGACCCCACATCCTCCTGTGACCCCACATTCCCTCAAGACTCCATGTCCCCCCAGGACCTTGCATCCCCCCAAAACCTCACAACCCCTCAGGACCCCACATCCTCCTGTGACACCGCATCCCCTCAGATCTCCACGTTCCCTCAGGACCTCGCATCCCCCCAGGACCTCACATCCCCCCAGGAGCCCACGTTTCCCCAGGAGCCCACATCCCCCAGGACCCAGTGTCCCCCCAGGACCCAGTGTCCCCCCAGGACCCCACATCCTCCTAAAACCTCACATCCACCCCTCAGGACCCCACATCCTCCTGTGACACCGCATCCCCTCAGATCTCCACGTTCCCTCAGGACCTCGCATCCCCCCAGGACCTCACATCCCCCCAGGAGCCCACGTTTCCCCAGGAGCCCACATCCCCCAGGACCCAGTGTCCCCCCAGGACCCAGTGTCCCCCCAGGACCCCACATCCTCCTAAAACCTCACATCCCCCATCTTACTACAAAGCACTGAGCACGCCACAGCACCCCAGGCATCCGCAGTCCCCTCTCCATTACAGCCAACAGCTAAAACCACCCCAAAACACAACCCCTAACGCTAAAGAAGCCATTTCCGTGTGTCAGGCTGACCCCAAAGCTCTGCCTGGGGTGTGGGTCCCGTGCAGATTTGGCACCAACGAACCCATCTGCTGCGGGCCAGCAAAATGGGTCAGTTCTGCCGGGACTCCCTCGCCCTGTCCCAGGTTGCCAGGATTCAGGTCGCCAACGGTGGGAAATGCGGGCGGCAGAGCTGCGAGCGCACCACGCTCGCTCTTGTTTCAGGAGGTTTCATTAACAATTCAATTAGTTTATGTGTGACAGGCTCAGGAGGAAAAAAAAAAAAAACCCACCCCAAAAAAACGCCTGCAGACACCGAGAACGGCTTCCGAACCGCGCTGGTTATGTGCTGATAAGGCAGAGCATCCCGGTTTATTAACGGTAATAATCCACACAGCCCAGCCACCCCCTGTGCTGGCGGCAGGGGGCCCGGGGACCCCCACCCCTGCCCGGG